AATATAGATTAAAAGTGTAATTAATATATTTTTTAAAAATAATTTACATTAAAAAAATAAAAATTACTCTTTATTTAATCAATTATTTAATTAAAATAATACACTAGTATTAATGATGAAATTAAGGTTAATTTTTATATTTTTCTATACTTCCTTTGTTTTAAAATATAAATTGTTTAACTTTTTCATGTATTTTTAAATAATATACTGTTTTATAATATATAAATGATAATTGAATTTATATACATATATACTTCTCATTGAATAGTTTAATTTAAGTAGAAAAAATTTTCAATTACTCATATCATTTATAATTAAAAAAATATTACTTAAATATATATATAAAGTTAAATAATTTATATTTAAAAGAATATAATTTAAAATAAAAACGTCATCTAGAGGACGTTCTAGTGGTTAGGATCTTAAATTTTCACATTAAAAATTTTAAATTTGAATCGTGAATGGAGTTTGAGAAGAGAATAACTATTCTCATTATTTAACTCATTACTTAATATACAAAAAATAATTTAATATAAAAATGTAACCATTAAATCAAATGTTAGAAAACACAATTATATATGATAGTCTATTTGTTGGAATAAATGAATAGTCAAATCAGACAACAAATGACGCGGTGCCTGAAACACTGGGTTGACAATTAATGACATGGAGAAAATGAAAGATGTGGGCAGCAGGAAGGAGGCATAGCCGTGTAGTTATTGGCCTGCGACTTAAAGGCCCGCCTTTACTCCAAAATAATTAATTGTTTTTAATTTTAATGTTAAATAATAGAAAAATAACCCGTCTTGCCCTTTTAGTACTTATCTAGTCCTGCTCATTGTTTCTCTCATCGCTTTTGTTGATTTGTCTTCCATCTGCTCTTTTGTTGGTGGAAAAAATTCATCTGCAAGTGATTTTCATTTCAATCCAATTATGCTTCTGCTTAGCCAAAATTTTCATTCTAATTTTAATTTTTCAATTTTGTTCCCATAAAAAAATTGTCTACAAAATCCAACTTGAAGGTATTGAGAAAAGATGGGGTTTCACAATTGTACATATAGGAGCTATTTGACGGTGATTTGAAGGAGTAGACTTAGGAGCAAGAATTGAGGGATTTTATAGAAAAACATGACCAAAAGTAAAAGGTTGATTGACCCTTTAGGAGCAAGGGATGCAAAGACAAAAAATTTTGTGGCTCTAATGGTTTTCTTTCTAGTGGTAATCCTTAGTCATGATATTTTTTCTGGTGGTGGCATTTCTCTTTAAAGTTCATGGATTTGATTGAACTAACTTTGTTAATTGTGGTGTTCCTATGTTCAATTCTTTCGAGTGGTGACTAGTGTCCGAAGTTACTTGAATAAGTGGTTTTTGCGATGGAATACTCCCTTTTGATGAGAGTTTAGGGGCTTGAATCTTTTACTGGTTCCAATGTTGAATTATTTTGTTTTTTCTTTTTTCTTTTTTTCTTTTTTTCTTTTTTTTTTTATCTTTGTTGATTATGTATTGAAAAGTTTTTCAAAATTTTCAAGCAAGAAGACGAAAAATCGGGAAGTCTAAAAGACTTTAAGCCTTTAACTGGGCGTTTCAGAGGGTAAAAATGAACAAAAAAAAAATTAATGGAGCATTGGTATACTAAAAACATCAGATAAACTGGAACAAAGATCCTTCCTTAAAACATCTAATATAGTGGAACAGAGGAGTAGCTAGAAAGAGACTAGAGCAGGTAAGTCGCCAAGTCAATGGTCTTCGATTTATTTTAATTTAGTTAGTATTTGTCTATTTGGTTTATTGAATTTTAAGATCAAACCATCTAGTCCACTGCACCTTTCAGTTCAAAATTTCAAAACTGTCATCTTCCTTCCTTTAATCTTGTACCCTACAGGCATTTATATACGTTTCCTTCTCTCTCTCTCTCTCTCTCTTTTTTTTTTTTTTTAATAATCTTTGATGTTCTCTTTTTTCAACCTTCTATATGTTTGGTTGCTGTTATATATAAGTAGCTAGGCAGAATGGTTTTGAGAACTCATCAAACCATTACCAAGATCTTACATGTCTACCATATTTCCTTCACATCTCTGATTTCATTCTCATCACTTCCAAGATGATGATTTTGGGGGGAAGGTCCCTTCAACTTGTCTATGCACTCCTGATATTACTGCATATGCAAACCTCCGTTGGATTCAATTCAACAACTGCTGATTATAAAATTAGGTGCATAGAGAGCGAGAGACAGGTGCTCCTCACATTTAAGAGAAGTCTAGTTGATGAATATGGCATGCTTTCTTCATGGGGTAGTGAAGAAGAGAAAAAAGAGTGTTGCGAATGGGACGGAGTTCAATGTAGTAACACAACCGGGCACGTCACTGTGCTTATACTTTCTCTATTAACAGGTAATCTTAGTCCTTCCCTATTTGAGTTGCAGCATTTAACTTATTTAAACCTCACTAGGAATGATTTCAACTTAAGTCACATTCCAGAGTCTATTAGTTCACTTAACAAATTACAACATCTTCATCTCCAACTTTCTAATTTAAGTGGATCTCTTCCTAATCAGCTTGCAAACCTCACAAGTTTGCAGTCTCTTGATCTTAGCCATAACGAATTCACAATCAAAAATTTTGAGTGGCTTTCTTCTCTTTCTTACTTGCAATATCTTGATCTGAGTGGAATCGACCTTAGTAAGGTCAGTAATTACATGGCAGAGGCAATCAATAAGCTTCCTCATTTAACCATCTTGTATCTATATGCATGTAATCTCCCATATGTCCTTCCTCAGTCTATCCCCATGATCAACACATCTACTTCTCTTGCTATCCTTGACCTAAGCTTTAATAATCTGAGTGCTTCCACATTCCAATGGTTGTCCAAATTCCATAGGAGCCTTGTTAGACTCGACATGTCTTATAATTCTATTCAAGGTTTGATTCCAGAAAATCTCGGTCACATGACTTATCTAGAAATCTTAGATCTCTCTGGCAACCAATTTGGAGGGATTCCAAAATCCTCTGGAAACCTGTGCAAATTAAGGTACCTAGACCTATATCATAACAATCTTGTCGAAATGCTTCCTGAACTTATTAGTAACTTATCTGGTTGTCTACAACTCTCCTTGGAAGAATTGATTTTGGGTGAAAATAAAATCAAGGGACCCTTGCCTGATATGATAAAAAACTTCCTGTCACTGAGACAGTTGGATTTTTACAACAATCAACTAAGCGGTACTCTGCCCAAAAGTATTGGGCTCCTGTCAAAGCTTGAGAGGTTACAGATTTCTTCCAATTCTTTGAATGGGATGATCACTGAATCACACTTCTCAAACCTATCTAAGTTACAAGGCTTGGACATGTCTTTTAATCCTCTAAGCTTCAACTTTAGCCATGACTGGATTCCTCCATTCCAGTTGGATGATATAAAACTTGTGTCGTGCAAGTTAGGCCCAATGTTTCCAAGATGGTTAAAGACCCAGAGAAACTTTTCTTATCTTGATATCTCTGGAACTGAGATTTCAGATAACATCCCAAAGTGGTTTTGGAACCTATCTTCTAGGGCATATTATGTGAATCTTTCTTCCAATGATCTCTATGGAGTTTTGCCAAATTTGTCAGCCACAAAATTTGCTGATTCTTTTGGCCTTCAGATAGATTTGAGTAAAAATAAGTTGGAGGGCCCATTACCAGTATTCCCTGTTAATGTCACATTCATAAACCTGTCAAAAAATAATTTTTCTGGGTCAATTTCTTCTCTCTGTACTATAACTAGTGGGAACCTTGTGTTCCTTGATGCTTCGCACAATCAACTATCTGGAAAGCTTCCTGATTGCATGACGCAATGGACAAGTCTAGTGGTTCTAAATTTGGCTAATAATCATTTATCTGGGAAAATTCCAAGCTCTATTGGATCTTTGTCTTGCCTTGAATCGTTAGGTTTGCAAAACAACAATTTCTCAGGGGAAATACCTTGGGCTCTAGGAAGTTGCAGCGCCTTGCAATTTTTGGACTTGAATTATAATAGCTTCTCTGGAATAATACCGACTTGGATAGGAGAAAGGCTAAGTTCACTGACTTTCCTTCTTCTGAGATCCAATAATTTCAGTGGAGACATCCCCTTAAAATTATGCTGGTTGACAAATATTATGCTGCTAGACCTCTCCAACAACAATCTATCTAAAAACATACCATGGTGCATCCATAATCTAACTGCATTAGCTCAAAAGGAGAATTCAGCCCGCGATCATAGTTTTCCAATACGTATTGATGCTGATCCTGAGAACAATGGAAGATATGCTGACAAAGCATCTGTAATGTGGAAAGGTATGGAGCGTGATTATGGGAATGGAAATCTCAAGAATCTGAGGATAATCGATCTTTCAAGCAACAAATTAACAGGAGAGATTCCTGTCCAGATATCGGTTCTCTTTGAACTGGTTCAATTGAACTTATCAAGAAATCAGTTGGCAGGAAGGATTCCTTCAGATATTGGGCAAATGAGACAGTTAGAATCACTCGATCTGTCACAGAACCAGCTTTCAGGTCATCTGCCGGAGAGCATGTCCCAATTAAATTTCCTTAGCACTTTGAATCTGTCATACAACAACTTTTCAGGGAGAATCCCATTATCAACCCAAATGCAGTCCTTTAATGCTTCTGCATTTGTTGCTAATCCTTCACTCTGTGGACTTCCTCTGACACCAACTTGCCCGGGAGATGAAAAATCAAAGAGCAAATCAACAGACAATGGTGGCAAAGACAATCAAGAAGACAGATCTGCATTCTGGAAATCATTTAAACCGGGAATGGAACTTGGAGCGGCAATTGGATTTGTGGGAGTTCTGGCTGTGAAGTTAGATCATCCATGGAAACATTTCTGTTTCCTATTGTTCAACAACGTGAGGGTCCGATTCAGCAACTTGAAGGACTGCCTTTATTTACTTGTAGCCGCAGTTGGTTTGGTGACGAGAGAGCATGTATCCAGATTGGGAAGAAAGTTGAAGTTGTTTGAGCCATCAGTCTCCTCCTAGGGGCCGGAAAAGGTCGGTACAAATTTTTGGTAATCTTGTTAAACATCTTCATTACTTAATTAGAAAAACCGTACCAGAGCAAATAACCTCATCTTATTGTTGTTTTTCAGGTTCAAACATGTTGCACGGATGTCTTCTTCTATTTCTACGTCAATAAGTCCAAGCTGAGCAGGGCATTATCTCTTCCTTAATTTTTCAGTGTGTTTGGGTGAAAGGTCTGTTTAAATTAAATGGTTTGTGCTTTTTTTCTTTTTCTTTTTCTTTTTTATCATCTATTTTGTAATAGTATGCTTGAAACTGATATGCAATATGGATTTGTAGTGTGTAATTTAACAAAGCTCGATGTTTTCATTTTCCATTTTTAATTGAATTCCCAATTTGTGGAGGTTAAAAAAGTTAAAAAATTTTAAAATTTTAGATGATCTTGAGAAAGAACAGAGAACTCAAAAAGTCAGCGTATATAAACCAAAATTTATAGTTTTTATGTTAATTTAAAAATAGCATTTTTAATTAATCAAATGGTGAAGAGATGCACGGTGGAATTAAAAAGGCCCAGGCAATCGCCACCCTCCACCCACTTCCTCCGTTCCTCTGCGCAGACAAGCCTTCTCGTGTTTCTTCACAAAATACCCGGAAATGGAGGGCCGGAGATTCCTTTAGCGAATGAAGGAGGTAATTTCTGGTTCTCACTTCCCTTGTTTTTTCGTCTCAAAAATTCCAATCGCACTTCACAAAACTATAGAGATGACCGCGCCGGTTCTGTTTTCAGCGAATAATTTCAATAAACTCATGGCTTTTCAACATGTCTTCAGGTTTTTGAGTTAAAAGTGCTGCTGGGTTCATATCAAAGGTAACCTCTTGTTTTGTCTGTGTAGCGGGTATGTGCTAGCTCTGTTTATTGTGAGTTTAATAATATTTCAATGGAAACAACAATGCAAGCAAATCACTTCTGCGGGTTAATGTTTCAAGTGAATTGTGTAATTAGAAAATAATAATGAATTATTTGCTTGTTCCTTTCTTTTATAGAATCTAATTACTACAGTGGATAATCTAGTGGCTGTAATCCCTTTTTTTTTCTTCCATTTCTTTTCCACACAGCAACCAGTTTTGGCGCTAGTTGTAGTAGTTATGCCATAATAAGTGAAAGTTACAGTAATATAAAAGGGGTTTTGATTTAATTGTGCAATTCCATATATATTTTCTGTTAGATTTTTGATGTAAGGAGTTGCTGCTTATAATTAACCAAAGTTGATTCTTGGTTTGGAGCATTTGCTGCAAACAACATCTATAAATGGGTGCATCTGTCTTTTAATACTATTTTGATGTTTGCTTTCATCTATTAACGTAATTCATTCATGAAAAAAGGGAACTTTGATTCATTTAATTCTGACTAACTTCTGTTATTAATAGAGAGCAGGCAAGACAATACAGCAAATGTCTAACAGTAAAGTTATTTCCCTTTGTATCTTTGATGCTACTGCATTTGATGGCAATTCTTCTCCATGTAGGTGCCCTCTAAAACCAACATGTCAGGGAGATGAAAAACACATAGATGGCGGTGGCGAAGAAAATTATGATGACAAACAAGTCAGTAATGGCACCAATGCTCTTACAGTAATTCGTGTCCCTTTTTATCTTTCTATATTTGATACTTCTGCTTCTTTTTACATGCATAGCTATGCGGACAAAGCATTTGTCTGGTGGAAAGGATTTGAGTATGATTTTAATGGTATCACAATTTTGAAGATTATTTGTCTATCAAACAACAAATTAAGGGGGAAATTTTCACGGTGGATATGGAGTCTCTTTCAATTGGTTCAATCAAATTGATCAAGGAGCCATTTGAATGGAAGGAATGCACCAGATATTGGACAATTGAGACAATTTCAGTCACTTGATTTGTCAAACAATAGATGTTCAAGTCAGCTCTCTTCAAGCATGTCCCTTTTAAATTTTCTAAAGTGTCTTGGACCTCTCATATAACAACTTTCCTGGGAGAACTCCATCTGGCACCCAAATCAACACTTTTAATGCTTCTGCATTTGCTGGTAGTTCTGCACTTTGTGGGCCTCCTCTAACATCAACATGCCACGGTGATGAAAAACCTATGGATGTTGGTGTCAAATACAATCAAGATGAAGAAGATGAATTCTGGCGAAGTTTTAAACCAAGCATGGACCTTGGATTGGCTTTCAACTTTGTTGGAGTTCTAGCTTTCAAGTTAGATCATCCATGGAAATATTTTTGTTTCCTGCCGTTCAACTCCATGAAGATTTGCCTCGGCAACTTGAAGGACTTCTTCCTCTGTTTGATTGTGACAGCACATTGTCTAGTGGTGACAGTGAATGCTGTCAGATTGCGAAGAAATTTCAAGTTTTAGGTGCCATCATTCATTCCCAAGAACATGATGAATAAGGTATGTTTTAACTTTTTGCCATCTTGTTCAAGTGCACTTCTTCACTGAAAATAGAAGTCAATCACCTATGATTGTTGTTTTTCAGGTTCATTTCGCTTCTTCAGACTTGAAGGATTCAAGTTTAACCAAGTTTCTTTCATCTAAAAGAAAGGAGGGGAGAGAAATTCCAGGCTTTCTTCTCAGTTACTACAGTCTACAAGATCAACTTTTAATTTCCTCTTTGTTTGTAATAAATTATGCTTCATGTGTGTTTTGTTGTATCATTTCATGTTTTGCATGTTTGATTCCAACATCTAGTTTGTAAGGAATGAAGAACAAGCTCCAGTTAAAATAAGGCTGAAGTATGAATTCTGCAAGTTTGATGTTGTTCTTCTTATCAACTTGTTTTGTTGATTGAATGGTTATTATCCTGATCAAATTTTTATAAGCAAATGAGCAGTGGATGTTTTATGATTCCATTAACGTTTTTCTAATTAATAATTAGAATGAGGAAGATTTACTTAATTACTTGATAACACCTCCCTCCGGTTCCATTCTTCATCATTACATGACTGTGCTCATCACCTTTGAAAATGATTGTCTTGGGGAGGGAGGGAGGGTTCCTTCAACTTGTCTAGATTTTACTGGAGATGCAAACTTCCTCTGGACTTAATTCAACAACTAGAGATGATGAAGTTTGGTGCACAGAGGGCGGAAAACAACCACTTCTCACGTACATCTCATCAACGTATGGCATTCTTTTCTTTTTCTTTGTGCTGAAGCAAAAAAAGCACAAAAGGGGTCACAATCATCAACAATGCAGAACATAACAAGTGTACTCAACTATGGCATCCTCTGTTTTCTGATCAAATGTATGAGTCCTGGCCTGAACATAACCCCTTGCATACTGGAACAGCCCACTGCCACCGATCACCGGCATCCCCACACTTTCGAAAACACCGTGTTCCTCCCAGCACCGTGATGGTGTTGCCGTTGTATTTCCCTTCCGTGAAGGCGAAATTCATAGACATCAACAGGCCAATTTCTTCGTGCGACGCCAGAGCATAGAACCCTTGTGCTCTTCCCACCATTTTGGAACTCATTTCCTGTCCGTCAGTTAAGGGATCGTCGATCATGCTGATGATACCGAAACCAGTGGCAGTTATGTTGGAGGGCTGCACCACCCGGACGGAAGTGGGTTTCCGGCCGCTGACAACGTCGTGCCAGTAGAGACAAAAATGGCTCAGCTTTTCTTTCCCTAGCCCGATTGACTTGGGGTCCAATCTTGTGACGAAGTCATGACCTTTTTGGGTGGCTTCGATGATGGCGAAGGAAGAGACAATGGAAGAGACAATGAAAGGGAAAGCTACTAGAACGGGAAGAATTGTTCTACCCATATTTGATCTGCATTTTGACATCTACAGATGAGGTCAGGTGCCTATTTATTGTGGAATGGGTATTAAGAAATTGGGTCGGTGAAACAGGCTCAGGCGTGGGGTCTTCTGGCCATTATAGTGGTAGTGTGTTGCTGTGCTTCGTGGGCCCAATTTCAAAGACTTGCTGTCAGAGGCAAAAACATGCTCCAGTGCTTTAGAAGAACGTAAAGGTTTCCATTCTTTGTTAGTCAAGGCCTCTCTGAAAAGTAGAAAATAGAAATGAGAATTTAGAGGTTGGGCATGGATCAGGACTAGCAGTCTAGGACTACAGAACCAGGCTCATTGTATGTTGGTTGAGATGTTGGCTTCTAATAATCAAGCCCAATTATCAGTTGCGCGCTTCAACAGTCCAAAAATAGCCCAAACCCGTTACAATCAAAGTGATGATAAAGGAATGTTCAATGTGTAGATTCTTCATTCATCACGTACTTCTTTCTCAATACTCTAGAGAAAAGGGAAAATCAAGTTCTCCTGCATTTAAAATATCAAAATTACTTGTAAAATTGTTTTATATATCTTTAATCATTAAATATATTTGAATATTTTCATTATCATTCTTATCACTTTAATTATCAAAACACTGAGTTTTTCAATCTTTTATTAATATATTTGAACATTAATGATTGAATCTACTAATAGGTAAATATTATTTTAAAAATCAAATTTAAAGTTTTAATTTTGAGATTAGCATTTAAAAAAATTAAACGTTTTTAAATACACTAAATTGATAGAAGGGATGCACCCCTAAAATTATCTAAAAAAAATTAATTTCAAAATATATAAAAAGTGACTCAAAAACACTCTTAACTATAAATATTAAAATAAATATATGTATTGGATTATATGTTAGACTGTTGACGAAGTGCATTCAAGAAAGTAGGCATTATAAGATTCTATGATCCATCACTTCTTCAATCATCAACGATGGACTTCCAGCTGCAGTCAACAAGAAACAATGGTAGAAATAAGGCATTGCACAGAAAAGCCTGATAACTGATGAGGACGGGATTCTTCACATGGCCTAACAACTCAACATAGACCTTATCTAATAAAAAACTTATCAATGAATTCCATAATATAAACGTTAAAAGTATGAACAATGAGAATTTTTTTTTAAATTTTTTTTAAAAAGCTAGAATAAATATAAAATTTTAATTTAT